CAATAAAACTTCAAGTTATATTTCAATACAACTCTTAAAATAAGTAAATATATTCTTATAGAACCCTGAACGATCCTTAATGCTGAAACAAGCAAACACCTTTGGGAGACTTCTTCTTAAATAACATTTAAATAACTATTTGAATGGTACAAAATTTCCAGTGTTTTCAATATGCATCTATTGAACACATTGATTCAGTTATATACATTATGTGTCACTATTAGTAATTATTGTATTTCCGTGATCATCCCCAATCTCTGTTCTACTATCAATCTACACAAGCGCGTTAGGACAATTGCTGCTTTCGTCTTACCTTTAATATTTCCGGTGAGTGTCAGACTCTCAAGGTCTTCTTTTTTTCTCATTTCTGATTCAAAGTTTAAGCGATCTGATATTGTTGCATAGCCCCGTGTTGCTGGAGGCGATCTTAGCGACAGTGTCAAATCTTATTTATTATAAAACGCAGATTGTGTGTGTGTGTGTGTGTGTGTGTGTGTGTGTGTATGTGTGTGTGTGTGTGTGTGTGTGTGTGTGTGTGTGTGTGTGTGTGTGTGTGTACGTTTATATATTGGATCGGATTTCCTATATTTTTCAACCGATTTTAACAAAACTTCACAGGACTACGTAAAATTACCTTGCAGTGGTTCTGACAGCGCCAAAAATTAGAAAAAAACAATTGTTTTTGCACGAAATAATTCTGAAAACACGATTAAGAGACGTCACGAGAATGAAAGGGGGACAAGTCATATCGAGTTATACTTATTATAAAACCCAGGTTGTTTGTGTGTGTGTGTGTTCGTTTATATATGGGATCGGATTTCCTACATTTTTCAACAGATTTCAACAAAACTTCACTTTTTTTGGCAGGTAGTGTTTCTTATTGTCTTGTACACTTTTTTTTCTTTTTTTTACATTCAGAATGCTTTAAAAATTCCATTTACAAGACAATTGTTTATAATAATTTCTATTCAATCGGTAGACTCATAACGATTGAAAACAATGTTTTTGTTTGAGTTTGGGTTTGACCAATTCGTAAAAAAAAAAAAAAAAAAAACAAAACAAAAAATAAACTAATTAAGACATGCGTGTCCGTCAAGCTTAAACAATAATCTTTGTCAATTTTATTTTTCAGTCTTTATGATGGTCGATACTAGATCTATCTCTTACTGTTACATCCCCGGGCAACGCCAGGATCTACTGCTAGTCGATAATAAATTTGCATTCTTCTCTCTCGGCCTGTGAGCGCTAGTTGTTTTGAGTCCAAAGATAAAAAGTACTTCAATACAAGGATTTTTATCTTGACTATTTTATTAATCACCTCAACGTATACATCTCCTAACAAAACAGTTGTGTCGCTCCCTCGCTGGGTATCCGTTCCAGACACGAAAGGAAACACGTCTACTTTCCTTGACGTGTAAGAACCAACTCCGACAACCCTTTCTCTGTCTATCGTTCTCACGCTGACTAAGCCAATCAAAATCGGTATCTTTATTTTGTTTTATATCTGATCTCTAAGGAAGACCTCATGAATACACTTCCCCTAAAAAATAATAGTCTGCTAAACTGTTATTTATATATATATATATATATATATATATATATATATATATATATATATATATATATATATACATAATCTGAAAAGAGTTTTTCTAACATGGCGTTCTGAACCATTCGTTTGTGGATTGCGATTTTTATTGTTTTTGCATTAAAAGTGGTGGTAAAAAAAGATGCATTTTTGTCATTTTCCACACTTTTAATTTTGTATCGGGAAAAAAAAATGGAATCTCTTATTAAAAAATAATCCAGACCACTCGACGTAGGTCATTACAGAGATATTCTGTATATCGCATAGGATCCTTGTGAGACCTCGAAAATGCTAGGCTACGTCAATTGCTTAAAGTGTTTCGTTACCTTACAAATTAACGGATACAGATTTCGACCACTTAATTCAAGTTTCATTTCTCTGCTGAAGTCCCATAAAAAAAACTCATATTTGCATCGAACGATGACAGCCAAGGAAAAATCGATTGTTTACAACAATATGGAGCGAAACTAGGGTCAATGAACGGAACCACTATTAATCACTCCAAAATAGTCTGCATTCGAATTTGTTACTTTTTATATTGTATAGTATGTGTTCTTTCCGTAAAATCAGGTGTTGCATGAATACAATTCGAAACTGAACAGATTAAAATGAGTAATCGATGAAAAGTGCCTTCAGTTGCCGAATCAGGCGCGTGTGGTCTTTCATCACGACAACATCAGACCTCACGTCGCTTTGCAGAGCTGAGAGTAATTGGTACAGCTTCACTGGGATATCTTTCAAATAGCCGACTCTTTAGTTCCTTTCATACTTTTTAATATGAAGAACGCCCATTCTCTAGAAGAATGATAAAAAATCACTTATATCAGTTCATTACACAGGAAGATGCAAGATATGAGATGATAAAATCATGAAGTAGTACCAAAGATGACGACATTATTTGAGCAAAATATCACATAGGATGTTGATTAAATGTATGCATAAATATCTAAATATTTTTTCTGAAATTTTGTTCCTAAACAATATATTTTAGCTTAAAATATCGGATGGTCTCAAGTATATTAGAAGAATTTTGTTTCAGTTTCTGATTTGTGGGCATATAATTTCTGCTTTCTGTACAATGAAAGACTTTTCCTCTACCAAATGTTGATCAATGGTCGTTTCGACATTTGACTCGGCATTCGTTTTATTCAAAATTAAGATGTATAAACCTGGAATTACTCTTGTCCCATTGAGACACGTATTGGCTAATTAAACGGCGCATTGATGGAAATGATTATTGCAGTATCTTGCTAACCTTGGCCTGCAAAATATCACTATCTATTAGGGGATTGACTTGATGATGTACATATTGTCTCGTTATGAAAGGCAAGGTGGAACACTGCATTATGTGTGGTCTCCACTAGAGAATAGCTGGCATGCAAATACAATTACATATTTAAGCCTTGTGTATTGAAACATGCGTAAAATTATAATGTTTATAAATGAAAAATATAAAAAAAGACATACGGAGAGAAGAAATATTAAAGAAAGGTGGAATCTATTTAATATTGCAGATATTATCAACATTATACATTATCCCGTCACAAACAGGGTTAGAACACAAAAGAGGCGTTTAGATTGCCATTGCTTCAAGCAATACGTTTTTGAAGAAAAACAATATTGCCAGCAATACATTTTTAAAAAATAAATTACTACCAGCAATACATTTCTGAAAAAAATAACCAGCAATACATTTTTGTAGAAAAAAAGTATTAATAGCAATACATTTGACTCTCGACAAAATCTCTCTTTACAAAAATAGGTCAATGAAACCTGATCTACAAATTGATTTCTTACAATGAATATATATTCTATTCGTACGAATCTATCCTATAAATCTTGTGAGCATTAAATAATCGATTGCGGTTGATATACCGTTAAATTAAATAAACCAGACCAAACCAAACCGAATGCTTTATATAATCCACGACAATTTCAATTCAATTTCTATTTTTAGGAAGTATATCCTATCCTTTTAAATTCACAGTTTTATTCGCCATTGTGTCACTTTCTTATTTCCTCCACTGACCGAAAGAGTGTAACTTCTCAGCGGAACCATATCCAAGAATTTTTTAAATACCACAACTGCTAGATAACCAGATATGATTTAACAAACGGTTGAATTCATTAAGACCTAAGTTTATTTCTCCAGGAATGATACTGTTGATTTATGAAATATTTAAGCATGGAAATCAATTAAAATAATTTACTCCTGGAAGTTAAATGAATGATTGCAAGAAGATAACTGAATCCAAAGAAAGACTCTCGAAGAAAGCCAAAGCTTACAAAGTCCGAATCGTTGTGAATATATTAGCAAAAATAACCATTTTAATTCGAATAGGAAAGCATATCATAATCATATTCCTTCGTATGAAGACATAAGTTTGTAGCTACAAGGGACAGGATGTTGATACGATTAATGGATGAAAATTCAATGATGACGATGTCATGTTTACGAGAAATGCCAGTGAAATTAACGCTCGTTGATAAAAAATCAATCAGTTTTCTTCCGTATGCTCTTGTATATTAGGCAAAATTTTGTAAATTATTTTTGGAACAGTTTAGGTAATTTGAGAAACAAGATGCAGTACGGTCTGGGAGGCTTCAACGGTAACGGCTCGGTCAAATGAATTAGAAATATTGGACAAATCCGTGGAACGCGTTAAGCTTATAAATCATGGGTAGTCAAACATGAAGTTACGTCAGCCATATGGGTGCTCTTTGAATCCGGACAAAAAGAATATCAGGTGGATCCATCCATGTTTTCAAAATTCTAATGATAGCCTCCTCGGAATGACCTGTCAGCAATGATAAAATTCAAATAACAATCAATGTATTTGGCCGTATCCGGTTTCTGCACAGCGGAAGAAATTCAAGGTTCAAGAATCAGGAACTATACAGCGTGTGTGTGTGTGTGTGCTTGTATGTGTTGTATGCGTGTGCTTTGTGTGTGCGTTTGTGTATGCTTGTATGTGTGTGTTTGTGTGTATGTTTATGTGCGTTTGTGTGCGTGTGTATGTATTTATGTGTGCGTTTGTGCGTACCCGTGTGTGTACTTGTGTATTTGTGTGTTAGTGTATGATTGTGTGTGTCTGTGCGTTTGTGTGTACGCCTGTGTGTTTGTGTGTTAGTGTAAGCTTGTGTGTGCACCTGTGTGGTTTTTTTGTGTGTGTGTGTGTGTATTTGTGTGTTAGTGTATGCGTGTCTGTGTGTCTGTGTGTTTGTGTATTTGTGTGCGTGTATGCTTGCGTGTGTTTGGGTATGTTTGTGTTTGGAACATAATTTGACTGGATGATTATCTTCCTAAAAGCCAATCAATTAATTTAGAATGTTACTCAGACGTGTTTTTCCTAACCAAGGACTTGAAAGGTTAACCAAAGCAACTACAGAAAAGTGTTCTCTTTTTATAGCGTACGTCCACATCAAGATGAAATACCAATTCCCGCCAGATTGCCGAAGTTAAGCAATGTCGAGCTTGGTCAGTACCTAGATGGCAGACCGCTTGGAAATATGAGGTACTGCATGCTTATATGTGTGCCTGATCTAATAGATAATGGCGCGGAATTGTTACTCGCAGAGCCGAGTACCAATACCAGTTGGCTTCATTATATTTAATTACGAGCAAATTCACATGGGAAAGACATGAATCCCCCTCTTCATCGCTAGATATCGGTTAATTAGTAACACTTGTATCACTAAGTGATTATCATCGCAAAAATATTCTCAGAATTTAAGAATATTTTCTGGCTTTAAATAACATGCAAAATGTAGATAAACCAAAAAAAAAAAAAACAATCAATTTTAACAGACAAATGCATTTGTTAAAATGGGAATCAGCACAATGGTTATTGTCAAGATTTTAGGGTTATAATTTAAAGACCATCCATTCTAGTAATAATCCATCTAACTATTCCCTGTTTGCCATACGGTAATTTAGAGAAATATATTGAAGTTTTCAGTGGTAAAATCAAATCAGAATAATAGACATATGACTAGATATATAAATTGTATTGGAAAGGTTAAATATACTTGGGGAAAATGATGTCAAATAAGTTGAATTGCGGTTTTTTTTTTCGACTATTCGACATTCATTTAATATTCAAGAATATATTACACGACATTTTGTATGATATTCTTAGAGCAGTGTAGATCGTTTGTGGCACAAAGAGTAGAATCTTCCGCTAATTTCCCGTTATACACTTGTTATATGCCCACTTCTTGCTGGGCGTAGTCTTGAGGGCGACATTGTCGATTCCATAATAAAACTTCATACTTCTCTCTTTTCTTGCTTCTCTCGGCTGTCTTTCTCTCTCTGTCGGTTGTCGAAATGTTTTTTTTGGGTTCGGAGGTAAAATGAGAACTTGAAAAAAAGGGATTTCTAAACTTATCTATTTTATTAACACGTCGACGTATGTATTATTACCTAGCCAGTGGGATCGCTTTATCAACATCACTGGGGAGCAAGTTTTCCACACACGAAATTAACACGTCTGCTTTCTTCGACGCGTAAAACTTAACTCCACAAAATAACATTCTATCTCTTTAACATTCCCACGTTTGTCGCTGCCAATCAAAATCGAGATCACTATTTTGTCTACCAGCTGACCCCAAGAATCTTTGAGCCAAATACACTGCCACTAAAAAAATAATAGTCTGAAACTATTATTTAATATTCTTTACCTAACCAATAAAAAATCATTTATGAATTTTATTTCAACTACATTATATTTAACACACTTAATCCACAAAGTCAAAAATCTCATATTTCGAACGATCGATCACAGTTGATGAAAAAGGGGTTATTTATAACAATATGGAGCGAAGGCGAAACTAGAGAACGGAGACACTTTTAATCACTTTAAAATTTGATACTTTGTAAATTGTATAGTATGAGTTCCTACCGTAAAATCAGGTGTTGGACAAACAGAATTCGAAACTGAACGGGTTGAAGTCAGTAATCAAAGAAAAGTGACGAATCGAACGAATGTGGTGTTCCAGAATCAAACCTCACGTCACTTTGCAGACCCAAAAGAAATTGGTACAGCTTGACTGGGGCATCTTTCAATTACCCGACTGTCTCACCTGAACTTAGGATTGCCATATATTTAGTTCCTTTCATAATTTTTTAATAAGCACTTTCATTCTTTATAGATCAGTTCCCTACACAAAAAGGTGCCAAGTTCTTAGAGGATGGAATCATGAAGTTGTACCACTTAATCAACAACATCATCTGCTAAAGAATACTTCAGCCTATGAAAGCAATGAAAAATTGACATAATAAAGAAGGATATATTAGCAATGAAAAATCGATATTATAAGGTAGGATTTATGAGTAAAAATTAGGTGATGCACGTTATCGCTAAGCATCGATATCAGCATGAAAACAGTTTATTCAAGTGTTTTTTTTTTAATAAATAGTTTACTTATAGATTCCACGTTAATTATACTTTAGGGGAATAATAATTTTTTTTAGAAGACTGTTGAGTAAAACGTTTTTAGCGTTGTAAATATTGCATCCATGTTAATGAAATTCATCAGAAAAAAAATCAATATATTGATTTTCGGCTTATGATCTCTTTGCGGGATATTTAAAGTCAAAATATATTTTTTGATTGTTAGTCATTTTTGGAGATAATGACGATTTACTGATACACGTCATACTATTTAACCTCTAACTGGAAGAGAGAGTGAAAGGTATTAATGCGTAAGTGAATATAACGAAGCTGACTTGCACTATCGAGCCGTTATCCATAACACCACCCTCACATCAAAGCTTACAGTACCTAGTTTTCCTTAGCGTTAACCCATTCAGGTACTAACCAGGTCTGATGATGCTTAACTTTGTTGAGTGTACGGGAAAGTGAATGAAGAAGGACTATCTTAAAATGTCTACTTTTTAGACGCACGTTGAAATTTCTGGCATTGTGGGGAGAAAAGCCCTGAAAATATTTGAAAGAGTTTAATGAAATGTTATCAAAAGAGTACAGTTGATATAATCACTGAAAGGGAGATGCGTTAGTAGAGTAAATGTCATATTGACATCAGTGATAGGTACCACAGCGGCAACTCAATTGTCTTTTTTCATAAGGGCTTGCAGTACTCCCTCTTGTGGAAATTTGAGAAAACTTTGAGGTGTGCTATAGGAAGATAAGCAGTTTAGATCAGTTAAAGGCCAAAGACATTTATCAAAGTTGGTTCCCAGAATTCTCAGAGATTCTATGTTTGTTACCCAAGAACTTCTAGAACTGCACAAGGAAGGGAGCACTCTGAAGTCATAGTTACTTCAACAATAATAAGGTGGAAGTGTCAACTCACATTTAGTTATAAAGGCAGAAGAAAGGCGGGTGTACAGGTTCTCATTAGGTTTTCATGGTTCGGACGACAGGATACAACGTTGAATATAAGATTTAGAATTCTGAAACAATTGTATTCGTGTTGTCGTCCCTCGATTATTAAGCATTTAAAGGGGAACCTCGAGGTGGTGTAATGGTTAGCAAGCTTGTCTCGCTAGAACAATTACGACTGAGTTCGATCCTCATTGAGTGCCCAATACTTCGGCCTTTTGCCACTTCCGAGCTACGCTTGGAAAATCGCTATTAAGCATTTAAAGAAGTAAAGACATTACTTTTAGATCAATCCTCGGACAACGATTGAGAATGAAGGACACTATGTTGGGGAGTATTTTGTTCTTAGTTTAGTCTGCATTGTGTAGCACGACTATTAAATCTCTTATTAAAGAGGAACAGACATTACATTTTGAACAACCAATGCAGCACTCTTTAAAAGAAAATGTTATGTCGACGAATAGAGATGAAATCCTAACGTTTGTCTTCATTTTATTATGTGTACATCTACTATTAAATCTGTTGTTTTTTATTGGAGAACATATATTACGTTTTTATTCACTTATCATGCTAGGTTAGACAACGAAATATTATATTTTGAGTTATAGAATTGTAATCCTGGGTTTTGGCCATTTTGTTACGTTTTTGCTTATATTAACTAACTTATATGGAAGAAGTGAAAATAAAAAAGAAATGGATTTGGAATGCTACAATCCTGTGTGCGATTTGATTATTAAGATTTTCTATTTAGAGAATAAGCAATATTTTTCACCGACCATCTTATCAAGGTTAAGAAGAAAGCAAATTATTTTGAGGCCAATCGGCAAATAACGCAAAGTCCCTACAAAACCAAAACTGCAATCTGAAGCTCACGTCATGTCCTTAAGTTGCCTCATCAGATCGACACTTTCATCTAGATGTCATGCATGGGGCCAAACCCGTTCAGAAATCTCTAACTGTAGACCGTAAACAACTAGTAAGATCAATGGTGAAAAAAGCCTTTGAGAGAGTTTTGTAGTTGCGTTGCAACTCATACTAGACACCAGGTCTTTAGACAGGGTGTATTTGTGGCTTAAAAATTATTTTTAAACCACGAGTGAAAAACAAAACAATTTCTAGTAGTAAACCAGATTTTATTCTTGCTATAAGTGGGCGAATTTGAAACGAGGTGTAGGTGAAGTTTAAGTACACAGCCTAGCAGGTGTCTTCCTTGTCCGTTCTCCGAGACCCGCTTCGTCCCTCAGGTTGTGCCTTTTCGGGAGATCGTCAGTTTTATAGATAAAAATTTACTATGCCTTGCCATATTCGCCTTAAAATGATGAAGTATCATAAATTCGTGACTTTCTCTCTGTCTGAGCCTCTAGCTCTGTACTTTGAGGTTGTATTCACTTACTGATAACCATTTTTCCAACAGGTTCAGCTGTTTTTAATTCAACATGGCCTCAGTCGACTCATATTTTATTCTTGAGGTATAACCGACTGCTATGAGACAATTTGAGACGAGGCGGAGGAGGAGGGGGGAAATGTGTATAGTCTAACACGTGCCTTCCTTGTCCGTTTTTCAAGGCTCGCTTCGTCCCTCAGTGTGTGTCTTTTCTGGAGATGGTCAGTTTTATAGATAACAATTTTCTTTATCCTGTCATATTCGCCTAAAAGTGAAGAATTATATTCAATCCGTGAATTTCTCTCTGTCTGCGTCATTTGCTCTGTAGTTCGAAGGTGTCTTCACTTACTGATAACTATTGCATTGGTAAGGGGTTCAGCTGTTTTAAATTCAACAGAGCCTCAGTTGACTCATATTGCTACATTGATAAAGATTATCCTTCTTTGCACATTGGAAACACTAATAAAGAACTGTACCAGATAAGAACCACATCACCAAATAAAATGGATATCACGTGTAACTCGGAGAGGAAATAACGACATAATGAATATGTTAACATTCCACACTACTTCAAATATGAATTTGGGACGAAAAAACTATCAATTTGGGAAATAGCTTAACAGCTACTGGATTCAAGAAAATGTTTTAAGAAATAGATTTTCTAAATTTCAACTGAAAGCAGTACTGGCTACTCGGTCAATGAATGCCAAATGTTTCCTTATAAGGTAAACGGCGAATATTAAGATTATTATTATCATTGATATATTTGGAATTCTCAGTATATTTTTTATTTGGGAT